GTCTGGGCTGGGGCTGAGGTGGGCTCTGGGCCAGCGGGGCTGGACCGGGGCCCCGCCGGGGTCTGACACACCCTCCTTGGGTGCACCATCTTTCCTCAGCAGAGGCGAAGGGCCGCGGGGCGTTTGCAGGGACAGCAGCCCAACCTGTGGGATCTGAGCCACTGTGAGCAGTGCCTGAGGAAAGCAGTGAGGGAGACTTGCAGCTTTGCAGGGGGAATAAAGGGATGGAGCAACAAAAAAAGCTACATCCATCTTCTCTTTGGCCCTGTGGGTGGGACCAGCAGAAAGCAGGGACTCGAGAGCTTGGTGACAGGGAAGCAGGGCTGGTGCATGGACGCCGCAGGGTGCAGGCAACTTACTCAGCAGCACGTCATCATTTTTGGTTTATTCTATTTTGTTCCTAATGGGTTATAATCACTGTATTGCCCCACCTGAGTCCGCTATCAGCGGCTCTGCTGGGTCCAGTTACCTTGCACTAGTGCAGACCCGGTGCAGACACACTCAGGGACTATCCCGGTTGCCTCTGCAGGTCCTCAGGGGAAGGTGAAATCCTCTCACTTTGCCCACCCAACAAAAAGCCACATTTTTCATTCAAAAAAAGCACCTCCTCCAGAGTGAATCCTCCCACAAAGACCAGACCCCAAAAGGCAGCTGCCTGTCATCTGCCTCCACATGGGTGCCATTGCTGGAGACCCCGAGAGCGGGTGGCGGGGCCAGCAGCAGTGGCTGGCTCCTCCACGAGCCCGGAGGCACCGGGGCAGGACCGCTGGCAGGCTAGGGCTGCTGGGGAGGCTGGCTCGGAGGCCTGACGTGTGGTCTCTGGATCCTTATCTGTAAAGGAGGGACAGGCCACGCTGTGCTGTCAGCGCTGCACGGGCTCTGCTCTTCACGACGGGCTCAGACAGCGGCGCAGACCCCAACGCAAGCCAAAGCATCCGTGATGCTCCGGGACGAGGCATGGCTCCCAAGCATGTTTGAGGCATGGGGCCGGGACACCAGTCCCCAGCCCACGGTCCCCAACCCTGACCACCCACGGGGACAATAACACCCAGGCAGACCTGGACTGAGGGGTCGATGGCCTGGAGCTGCGGTTCCCAATGCCTTTCTGGGGAGTGGGAACGGGCAGACTCTGCCCACTCTCCTGCCACCATCAGAGCTGGATCAGGGAAGATGAGCAGAGCTTGAAGACGATCAGAGTGAAGCAGAGCTGGGGTCAGGGGGTTTTGCAGGGATGTACTCACAGGAGAAGGGCTGTGGCCTCCAGAAGGTCTCCTTGGCCCTAGGAGGGGGGGAGCAGAAAGGGGACGACATGTCAGGAGGGGCCGGGAGAGCCCCTGCCCGGTCCTGGCACCTGGGTTGGATGCGAGTGGGGAGCAGTGACTGAGTGTGGGGGCAAGATGAGGCTACGAGAGGAAAAAAGCCCCAGTTGCTGTCCACATGCAATTTCTCGCCTTTCCACAAGTGCAAATGAACAGAGGAGCTTCCCAGAGAGCCCCGGCTCCAGGGCTGGCAGGGAGCCGGCAACAGGGGCAGGACACAGCTCTGACCAGCACGGGGGGCTCGGGGCACTGAGCTTCCCCCAAGCGTGGATGCCACACCGGGACCAAGGGCTGGGGAGGAGGGAAGGAGATGCTGGCGCTTCCACCCTAGTCTTGCACCTCGTCATCCATCTGCTAACTCCCTGCTCTGCAGGAGAGCAAGGTCCAGTCCTGCAACAGCCTTTTTCTTGCTCCATATCAACTCTTTCCAGAGCAATGTGAATTACAGTGGAAATCATTTGGATGGTATTCAAATTAAAATTAAATAGAAAGCCCGTCTGTAACCGAGCACTGAGTGAGATAAGGAAGAAATGCAAATATTCCCTGACATGGAGGAAAAGGGAAGGTAGTGTTCAATCCACTGACATTATTGCACCCCTGAGCAGCAGATGACTGGGGAAGGGGCTAGAAGATGCTAAAAGACCACCCGGCTCAGCCCCTTCCCCAGGGCAGGCTCCCCCTGCCTGGGCCAGATGGGTCCCACTAGTGGCGGACCTTCCAGAGATGGATTTTTCACCAGTTTTTCAGGCTGGTAAAGCTCTTCCTGACGTGCAACCTCCATTCCCTGCCACATTTGCAGCACCCACCCCTGCGCAGGTCCAGCCCATGGCTCACCCCCGGTGGCGGTGCCGGCGGCAGAGGCGCAAGGCCAGGCAGGCTGTGGTGAGCAGGAGGCAGAGCAGGGCCAGGGCTCCCACCAAGATGCCTAGGAAGGCGGCGAGGCTGACAGCCAGTTGCTCACACTGGGCGCCGGCGGGGGAGAAGATGGAGAAGGGGAGGCAGCTGCAGATGGGGAGGGAGGAGCGGTGATGCCATGGGGAGATGCAGCCGTGCCTGGTGGCCTTGTCCGTCCCCAGCACCGCTCCTACCTGCACGTGGGCCCCTCAGGCAGGTGCTGGCACCGGCCACCATGCTGGCAGTAGCCCCGACGGTCCCCGCGTAGTGGAGCCGGTAGCCTTTGTAGCCATACAGACCGCAGGGGAAATAGTGCCTCAGCTCAGCCACTGTCACTGGGGAGGCACGGCGCAGGTTCGGCCACGTGGCAGCATCACCCCTTGATGCTTCCCCAGGTATCCCTGAGCTGGATCCACACCTGGGGTGGGGACTGCCGCCCACCCACTTCCCCCGTGGGTGTTACCCAAACCCCAGGGCATGCAGGGTGATGGGGACAATGGGGACAGCAGGGTGCTTCTCTCGGGCTCCCTGGCTCGGCGCCGGGAGCAACTCACACTTCACCAGGTCGGTGATGTTGTCCCGGTGCAGGCGCTGGAAGAGGAGGCGCATGCCCGCCTCCCGCCGCCCCCGCCGCCCGTTGAAGGCGCCAGTGATGGCCCCTGGCAGCTCCTCGTTCAAGAACCGGATGACGGTGCCGCGACTGTCGTAGGCGAACTCAGACACCACCACGAAGGTGAAGCCATCGCTGTCTGTCCTGCAGGGAAAGGACAGGGCTGCTGGCGGAGCTGCTGCTGCATCACAGAGTGACTGAGCCTCACCGTGCCTCAGTTTCCCCATTTGGGGGGTGGTAAAGAAGGGATGAGGCAGGAGATGGAAGGTGCTGTGGGGCTTGTGTCTCCAAGGGTTTATCAGCATCAGGGCTGGAAAAACAGACTCTGGGGTGGGGGACAATGCCCTTTGTGTCCCAAACCCTGTGGCCCCACGCCCAGCCCTGCCATGCCGGCTCCCTGGGGTGGGCAGGGGACCACTCCACAGCAGACTCACGTCTGGGTGATGTTGGTGTTGCTCTGGAAAGCCTTTACCTCGAGGGAGCCCAGGATGGCCGAGACCTGTGGCGGAGGGAGCAGGAGGGCGTTAGGGGAGGGCAGGACAGCACCGGCGTGGGGAGAGGCTGAAAGGCAACGCGGGCACCGTGGCCAAGCCCCAAGGGCTGCTCTGGCCTTTCGTTCACGCGCTGGGGACCTGGCACATGGCCATGGCCGCAGCCAGCACACCGTGGCTGGCGCTGCCTCCCTCCAGCCCTGCGGATTCGCTGGATCCCTGGGGATCCCGCAGGAGGGGGGCGCACGGGGACATGGGCACCCAAGGCTGCCATGCTGCCTGGTGTGCCAGTGCATCCCCCACCCCAAGCCTATCCCCTCCGGTGACATACGGTGCCATTGATTTCCCCAGCCGTGGTGTTTCGCAGCGTCCTGAGCCGCAGACGGACACTTCTCCGGGGAAGATCTGCCAGGGGGAAGCCGCAGCAGTGGCTCTGGCATCCCAGGACTGGCGCGAGCGGGGTTGGGGTTCACCTCCCACTGGGCACAGGCACCCACCTGTGCTGGGCAGCGGCTGAAAATCCCCCCCTGCCACCAAGCAGCGCTGGTCGGTGAAAGCCGGGGGGCAGGCGCAGGAGGGGGTGCAGGTGATGGGGTGCAGGTGGCAGCGTCCCCCGTTGCTGCAGTAGCCCTCGGGGCAGGAGCGGGAGCCACAGGCTAAGCCACAGCCTGGCCCCTCGCCTGTGGGACAGGGAGCCCAGGTCAGATGGAGGCACAAGCCTGGCTGCAGGGGCAGAGCCCCAGCACACTGATGCATCCTCAGCCTCTCTGTAATGCCTCTCTTCCAAGTTTTCGGGTTTTTTTTATGCGTTAGGACTTTTAGTATAAATTCAGATCCTCAAGGAAAAGCCCTGCATCCCCTCCTCCCAGCTGGAACCTTTTGCCCTTGTGAAATCCCAGCCTGCTGCATTAGAACAGGAGCAAAAACCATCACCCCAACCCCACCACAGCCATCTGAAAACAGGATTTGGTTTTAGCCCCCGACCCTCCACATGTGCATTTGAACTTTGATGGGATGAGACTTTTTTTTTTTCTCAAAGAGAAAAATTGCACCAGAGAAGTTTCCCTTCCCGGCGGATTAGTGAGATCTGCAGCCTGGGAGCACGAGGGGCGGCTGGACTCTGGTCCCTTCTATTAAGGACAGCAAGGGCTTGGGTACAGAGCTCAGCCAGCTCCCTCTCCTCTCCTCTCCTCTCCTCTCCTCCCCTCTCCTCTCCTCTCCTCT